AGCACTATGCCAAAGAGAGAGAGAGAGAAACGCATTGATCCAAGGAAAATTTAGAAAACGACAACAGTCTCATCATTAAATGTTTAGGGAACAAGAGATGACGCAAAGGACTCGTGAGGAAGTACAGTAAACGTAACATGAGTAGGCACAGCATAATACTGCTGAGAAGAAACCAGCGTTCTTTGAATTAAGATTTGAAGGTGATGAAATAGGAGAAAGAAATATCAGGCGAAAAAACGACGAAATATCAACGGCATATCCAGCCACCAAAGAGATCCTTCTGTACAAAACAACACTTTCAATTACACAGTTCAAAATAAACCAATTCCCAGTTCTCAATAATTTACGTGTAAATCCAATAGCAAGAAAATTGATAGAATGGAGAGATGATTATCTACGAGGATTGTTGAACATGTGTCCAAGCGTCTGCGCCTTGGAAGTAGAACTGCATTTAATAACTCCATGGTTCAGCATCTGGCATATGCAGGGCAGCAAAACGACATATTATAAATTTTCGTGGTGTCGAACAGACAAAGCACTTCAAGACTACTTCGAATTGCCGAAGCAGTGACTATCCGGAAAGCGAAGTCCGTGGTGCTTAATTATGCGGATCAAATTAGTTCTCAAGTACATAATAAGTTATATACAACAGAATTATTTAACCAAAATCAACAGTATGAACCACCGTAAAATCAATAAGAATATTCCCAACAAGGTGGAATCAAAGCTCTGTCAGGGAGAATTACGCACTAACAATTCCTAAACACAATCCAAGATCAGAATGCGCTTGAATCACTAAAACAAAATTGAAGTCGTAAAACGACTCACTGTCAGTATCACCATCACAAAAACACAAAATGAAGCGTTAAATTAGAGATTAGGCAGGAATAAAGTCATCATCAGTTGACGGAGGTGATGAAGATAACCAACCAACAACAAGCACCAGTCACAGTGAATGGAAAAAGTTTAAAAAAGGCGAATTCTTTCACTCATCTAGGCAACAATGCTGCAACAACAGGCAGTCGAAACGGATGAGGATATCAAGACCACAGTCAGAAAAGCAAGACGGACATTAATTATACGCAATCAGTTTGCAATTCTGCTTCACTCAGCAAAACAAAGAAATTGAAATTTTCACTACTAATGTTAAGTCAATCAGTTCTTCTATTGAGGTCAGAAAATTGGTGCCAGCATAACCAAGAGCATTTCCAACAGGCTATTATCAATAAATGACTCCGCTCTATTATCGAAGATCAAGTGGCCGGAAAGAATTTGCAGCGAGAAAATCTGGGAACAAACGAATCAAGAACCTATTGGCGAACAAATATTCCCAAGAAGATGGTGACAACTCAGATGCACACTGAAGAGACAATTGAAGGACATCGCGGTCACGACAGGCTCCATGTGGAACCTGAGTGGGAAACGACAATGTGGATGTGTGTCCGAGGGTGACTTAGAGGAGATCGTATGAGGAAGATATGACAGATTATGGAAAACCGTGGAACCAAATAGAAAGAAAGGAATGCGGAGAACTGGGTGAAATAGTGATGTTTTGCTGAAGCCCTATGGTCTACTTGGAACTCAAGGGAATGACATTAACAATCTTTGACGTACAGGTGATTGTTTAACTTCACTTTGCCTTAAAACTGATATATTACAGTTGCTGATGACAGTTTAACTTTACTAGATAAACAAATTTGTTATATATATTTGACTACTGTATTGTCTAAATGACAGATATTTTTTGAATTAAATGACATCTTTTAGAAACATTTTATACACAGTGTACAGGAAAAAAGCCTCATATTACCAATTAAAAGAAAATTGACAGGGTTAGGCATAACGCCTAGATTAATTATGCTTTCTTGTCTTGAAATGAGTGCAAATTCCACCTAGGTATATGCTTTCATCATGTTGTATTAAATAAAGACTGTTAAACATGAGATACACACTGTTCACTTCTCTAGCTCTATACTGAAGATAATATGGCTGGTTGCTGAGAAAGAATTGGCAAAGGTAAACCATGGTAGGCGGCCAGCTGATCAAGAACCTATTGTACAACAAATCTTCCGAAGAAACTGAAGAAGGATGAAAAATAGACTGAGAAGACTGTTTGGTAACGTGACGTGCAATGCAGGCCATCGTTTCAGTGGAAGTCGAGTGAAAAATGACGGGCTGTGTGCGTGTGTGTCCCAAAGTGACATGGAGGAGACCGTACGAGTAGGTGATGAGAGACAATGGGAAATCCTGGGGCGGATGGATTGGGTAGCAGAGATCACGATAAAATGGAGATGTTGTAACTCTATTTTGTACTCGGGAAGAAAGGGAAAAAATATAAAATAGAGGTAGTGTCTTATAAAAATAATAATTGTTCTCCAGATGAATCCTGTTTCCCGAGGGAACAGTAGATTTATTATTTTTTTTTTTGATTATAGCTTGAAACCACACATTATTTTTGGTACAAGTATGGAATTTTAAGCAAGTGATATCGGTAGCCCAAATTCTGCAGGTCGACCATAGATATCAGGTGTGCGTCGGCAGGGGATAGAACCCCGGACCATGTGCATGGTCGGCGAGAGTCCTAACCGCTGTGCCACCGACGCACACGCACTTATGAGGAGGAACGTTTTTACTGCAACTTCGATAATGTCGACTTTGCACAAATTTCAGTAAGTGGCATTATTGTTTCTCAAGTGACAATGGGATATTTTCATAAGAAAGATTAGACTTTGGCGATAAGTAGCAGATGTCATCAGCTGATAGAAAAGTGAAACACTATTGTGTGTGCGTGTGTGTGATTAATTTTATCTAATCTTCCTGTCACTTAGGCTCTTTTGTTTCAATTTCGACCACCATTCACTAAACCAGTCCAACAGTATATCAGATATGCTCACAAAAAAACCAAAGTACTCATAATAAAACAATTGTAATGTATAAATAAAACGACATCGGATGGCTTATTCTGATGTGATGAATACAAAGTTGGTAGATTCCATGAGTTCCAAGATTTGCATCTTTAGTCTCCGAGAATCGAGGTGTTTATTTCCTTTTCGTATTTGAAACAATAGAAGAGTCTGTATATATTTTTATTTTCTGCAAATTAAGGCAACCTGATAAATTGGGAGTCGTATATTTCCTAGATCGGTGCTTATCTTGACTAAGATATTTGCCTATTCACGGTGTCAAAAATGTCATCGAACACGCCATTCATTACATTAGCTATTGAACTTTGACAATGTCTAAATAAGGCGATGTTAGATAGAATAATGAGTGTGACTACTCTTTCTTTCTTTTCTGTCTCATCATAACAATGTCTAGAGAAAAAAACATTCATCTGACGTATTATTGATTATTCAGCTTCTGTCGCCAGTATATAGGGATTAAAATCACCCTACATTTATTAACAATAATAGCTTTATTTTGAACAGTGTTTATTTGATGTACAGAATTTTCAGTGGAAACTATTGCATGATAGTTTCTCTCCGTCTAGGATCTCCAGGTAAAATAGTAAGTGAGATAATAAGTCGCGTGACGCACTGCTGTCTGACCTGAAGCGGAAATCTATCCCTTACGATATTTTCTCTCAACCTCCTCCGAGAAATGAACAACATTTAGTTGACAGTTGAATAATTGAAGACCGCAAGTAACTAGTTTTATCTGTTAGAGACAGTTGCAGTTTGTACTAAGAATCTCAGGGATAGTCATCTTATGTATTGGGATACGTTGCCACCTGCAGTTACTCAGTTACGCAGTCAGACAAGTGTGCTTATTACCACCAATGATATTCCTAATTGTGGTGAACTGGATTATGCGTCAGACAGTGGAAAACGAGAAGACTGGGATATCCTGAACCAACGTGAAGAGCCTAGAAGACCTGGATTTCGGGCGTGGATGATTTATGTTTGATGTCACACGAAATCGAAGACTTACAAGCGAAAACCGACAAACTGGTCGAAGAAGCAGCAAAGACAGCACTCCAGGTGAACATATACAAGACGGAGGTTATGAAAATAACCAACCAACAACAACAACAGCAGCAGCAACATCCAGCGCCAATCACCATCAACGGGAGGGATTTGAAAGAGGTTACTTCATTCACTTTCATCTAGGGAGCATTGTCTCAACTACAGGAGGAACGGACGAGGATGTCAAATCGAGAATCGGGAAGGCGAGAAACACATTCATCAACCTGAAACCAATCTGGAAATCTTCCGCTGTCACTCAGCCTGCATCAACAACAAAGTGATTCGGATTTTCAATACAAACGTCAAGTCAGTCAGTTCTTCTATACGGATCAGAAACTTGGCGGGTCACAAAGAATATTTCCAACAGCCTGTTGCAGACCTTTATCAACAGCTGTCTTCGCTCTATACTCAAGATCAGATGGCCGGAAAGAATCACCAACAAGAAACTATGGGAACAAACAAAACAAGAACCAGTCGCCCAACAAATATGCAGGAGAAAGTGGAGATGGATTGGACACTCGCTGAGGAGGCCGCTGGGTGACATCGTGCGTCAGGCCAATGCTCGAGTGGAACCCGAAAGGGAAGCGGCGAGTGGGACGTCCAAGGGTGACATGGAGGAGATCGTGTGAAGAGGAGTTGAAACAGTATGGATTAACATGGATGCAGGTGAAAAGTACAGCAGAAGACAGAAGCAAGTGGAGATGTGCAGTTGAAGCCCTATGTTCCACTAGGAACCCAAGGGAACAATAATAATAATAAAAATAATAATAATAGAAACTTGCAAATCAGTAGGTTGTAAGCGTTTTAATTACTCTGTAGAGTAGAAAACACCATTGGAGGTCAAAGCCTAATAGATGCAGCCAAACTGAACTGAGGGAGTATTTTGGTAGCTCATGTCTTAAACAGACTGCCAGGTTTGTTCAAACAAATAAAATGAAAGGTCATTTTTCACTACGCGACGAAATAAATTAGGCCTTTATCAGATAAATACAACATTTTGCATAAAAATAAACTTAGAGGATAAAAATCACTTACTGTGAAATATTATCGACGGTACCACATTAAAGCCTTGACCAGAAAAATCAGCCATTTGACTTGTTTTATCTGACTCTTCATCATCCTCTGAGTCACTTGAACTTGTGTCATCACTACCACTGCTGTCATCCTCGTCATCGTCATTATCATCATCCCCCTCAAAACTACTCGATCGACTAGTCCGCTCACTTTCAGTGAAACTGACGGTTACTGCATTGCTGCTAGTAGTGCGTAGATCACTTTCTGTTAGACTGCTGCTTTGATTTGACCGTAAAATTTCTATTTATATACACGCATTTGTTGATTTAAAAAAGGCATATATATATATATACATATATAGAATATCTCACCACTTGAACTATCACCCACTTGTCTTGAAGTTGGTATAGTTGTCTGTTCTGGACTTTCTGTTTTTCCATCAGTTGTTGAATCGCTTTTATCTTTCTTTTCATCAACTGACACATCGGAATTGAAACTATTCGATTCCATCTGTTCCGGACTACTCATACTTTTTTTCTCTCTCAACAATAATCCTACTTGTGATAAAAAGCAAAATATATTTTCAGTTCAAATGAACACAGATGCAGAGTTATTGTCAGTTATTTGACTGGCTTATTGCTTTGTTTTTTAAACAATCAATAATATTTAATCAGTTATTACCTCAAGGTGACATCAAATGACCTTTGTCACCTAAATATTGGTGATGAGATTTACACCAGCTTACTAAGGTGTAGATGTTTTGTTTTTGAGATAACACTTATGCTTTTTACCTTCATTTGAAAGCAACTTGACACACTGACAATTGAAATAAATTAAATCCAGTGTTGTGGTCTGAATCCAGGAAACCAGGTTGCTCACAGTCACAAAATCTCCCGATTAAAGACAGCAAAAAGACAGTTGTTTCCGATAAATCTATGACACTATTTTACGACAATAACATATCAAATAGTAAAAATTACCTTAATAATCCCTCTAGGTAGTTGCTATACAAATCCCATTCATTCCCAATTAAAAATTAGGTGCTAAACAACTAAATTGCATAACCTAAATCAATCATATGAAGTACGTGAGAGCCAAGAAGAATATTCCCAACAAGGTGGGATGAAAATTCTGTCAGGAAGAATAACACACCAAACAATTCCCAAATAGAATGCAAAGTTAGAATGATCTTGACACAGTCAAACAAAACCGTAGTCGTAAAACGAACAGATTACCAATATCATCACACAACCAGGAACAAAGACAAAAGAATAAGGATTAAGTCAATAGATCATGTACAAACGTCAGTACAATGTTTTACAGTCTATGATAAAAATGAATAATAATTACAAAGTTTGTTGTAACATACAAGTGAACATCAGTATTGTAATGAGATTGTCCAGGAGAGATTTTTCAAACAATTATTCTGTTACAGCAGTGTTGAAAGATTTGTTTTTAGCTAATAGAAGTTATAGAAAAGCTGGAAGGACTCAGGTTAGTCTCTGGCAGCGAGACTTCTTATCCTACTTACATGATACCTGAAACAGAAGAAAATGATATCTGAGCTGTTTTCTTTACTATTAGAAATCTATCTTCTCCTGAAGGAATGATCTGTAGAATGCTGTCGACCCCACGAGAAGTAGAAGTTGGTTTACACCCTACTGACGCTCTCATAAACTATGTCTAGCCGACAGTGAGCCTGATAAAGGTCAAAGGTTGGATGTCAGGCTAAAAACCTCACTACTCGCTAACTATCAAAGTGCATGTGTACTGCTTACTCCGTCTTCCTTTATGGCTATGAGACATGTCTATTGAAAGTAGAAGATATGAAAAGCCCCGATAACTGTCTTTAATCATACGTGTCGGAGTTCTATCTCCTGTGTTAGATCGCATAACAGGGTGAGTAATATTTAGGTTAGGCTTCCATCGAGTGTTAGGTAGGCAGGGGAAATCAATCAACGAAGTTGTGAAGGTACATCGATTGAAATGGTTAGGACATGTTTTACTCATTTTTGACCATTGCCTTCCTCACTGCGAAATGTTAGCTGACATAGGATGGATCAGGTCGGTGATCAAACCAAAACATGGCCTCATCAGTCAATTAAATCCACAACACTTCGTTTAAGCCACTTAGGGAGGTGTAGACTTCCTGGTTGGAGTCCACTGTGTATGACTCTTACTGATAGAGTTGTCATCCCATCTTGTTGGGAATATTCCCCTTGATTCTAAAGTTCTTCTTACAGTTAATTTCTGGTATAGTACTTAATTTGTACTCGAGAAACTATTGGGCCTAATTAACTTCCTGATGAGATTGCTGAAGTAATTTTGCGTTTTTGATTTGTTATTATCGGTAAATAGTACCTCAGATTTTATTGGAAAAAAGTGTCTTTTTACCGTCTTTTTGTGGCATTTTGTGACTGTAACTCACTGAAGTTTTGGTCAGCTAGCTATACAGTAGAACGCAAAGATTAGTTTCTAGCGTTTAGAGTACAACAAGTTGGTTCCTGTCTTTACAGTTCTCGACATAACGAAGCAGTATGCCTGGCAACCGTACAAGAAGAAGATGGCTACGAAAACTAGGGTGAAGAAGGAGAATACAGCGCTCTCACATGTACCTCCAGAAATACGGCGAGTCTCTCCTGATTCATTTTCATGCCATTGTCTTTCCTCTGAGTTTATTTAGTGATCATGTTAAGCCTAACTCTAGAGTAACCTTAGATAAGTTTAGGCCACGAACAGGAATTAGAATTACGTGAGTTTCAGGCTAGACAGCTGGCAGAAATGCAACGCTTAGAAAGAGAACTCGACTTGGTATCACTATAGGATTATTTACTGGTGCGGTTTCACTTCCACGCAAAGATTGATTTCCTACATTCATAGCATAAAACATGGATTTTAGTCGCTTCATATGTCATAACTAAAAGATCACTGTTCTGAATCATACGACAACCGAATCTTCCATTACAACTGTCTTTATTCAGTTACGTAAGACAAAATCAATCTAGGAACTGAGAGCTCTTTCATTATATACTTACAAAACTTTGAATAGTGTACTAGTTAGAGAGAGATCTACTATGTTTTCTAAATTCACCTTAGTGTTACATAATAATAGATTATGCTATCCAAGTGGTAGTGTTCTGTCAAAATTATACTTTATAATTTCCGGTTGTTCAGTTTCAATGATTGATTAAACTCCTGTATGCATTTAACCTATGAAATTTCTCTTTTTAAACACTGTCTACAGTCCTTGGGCTTTGCTTCCCATCTTCGTAAAATATTGTAATAAACTCCCTTTGTCCAAAAACTAGTTAAACAGTAATATATATATTTTGAGTTTGACATCATACAGCAAGCAAAAGTACCTGAAATAACAAATTGTCTGTCTAAAATCAGTGCAAAAAAAGATGCATTCTTACCAAATATAGTTGATGACAGAGAAAAGTAACTCATCAATAATTAATGTATCAGTGCTAGTTTTTAAAACACACCTGTGTACACCACAGTGAGAAGGAAAATATTACGCATATTTAACAAAAAAGAAAAACTATTTTCAAGAGTAGGAATTTGATACAAGTTTCAAGTTGGATTACGGATTGATATCAATTTAGAAAACCGCTGAAAACCGATTGGGTGTACTGGATGGCTGTTTCGTCCTAGTTTGGGATTCTTCATCAGTACGCACCCACCGGGGTTCGAACCCAGGACCTTCTGGTTACAAGGTGAGCTCGCATACCATTAAGCCACCGGAACCCAGGACTCGCCTTGTAACCAGGAGGTCCTGGGTTCAAATCCCGTTGGTGCGTACTGCTGCTGTCCAGTACTCTTAGGTGGTTTTTCAAAGGTTCTCTAACCAATGTCAGCTCATGATGAAATCCTGTAACCAATCAACCGAATCCCTACAAACTAATACTTGAATAAATCTGAGAGAGAGTGAACAAATCAAAGAGAAAAAGGGTAGGTAAGGCAGCTAAAGGAAGAACTTTTCTCTGATAGCTTATGAAAAGCATGTTGAATTCATTTTTACTGTGTGAAGCAGCAGGCAAAATGCGAATAAAGTCGCATTAGAAATCGTTCAGACTCTAGGTTGATTGATTTAGATGGAATGAAAAGAGACTAAATGGCATTGAAATAGAGGAAAATTAAAAACAATGAATGGTAAGATTTGATATAACTACTCTTTATACTGATTAAACAATCAATATATAGACTTTGAAGCAGTTAAAAATGGGGAGGCTGTAGATCCCTGACTTACTCATAGGAAAAAGCTACCCAATTAAGGAAGTTACTAAAGGAATTCATTTCTACCTCACGTCTACCATCTTTAAATTCTAGGGCGAAATATGTAAATAAACAGAAGGTGTAGCAATGGGATCACCAATATCCCAAATAAAGAAAAAGAGTGCGTCAGTGGTATAATAGCCACCAGACACGGAGGTGGTTCATGGTTTGATTCCTGGCCGATGAATGCATCCCTTTACCTTGCTGGTTAGCTGATAATAAGCTCAACAAAGATAGAAGTTTGAGTACGAGACTCACAACTACATCCCATAGAAAGACGCCACTGCTACTGGAACTTAATGGCTAAAATCCTGAAGCCCTATTTTCCACTCGGGACGCTAATAATAATATACATGGATATTTTTAATTTTCGATTTCAGGTTTCCTTTAAATAGTGATGTGGCTTCGTATACCTCGTATTACTAGAAATCATAATTCAAGGGACGTTGGATGCCGTCCCACTAGCTGATTGTTCAACAGGCTTGCCTCATAACAGTGTAGTCAGAGTGTACAAAAATAATCTGTGAGATCACTTTCGATGTCCTGGTGTTGATTTTATTATGTAGTTCACAAACTTGATGTTGCCTTTATTCCTTTTTTTAAGATTTTGCTTCACCTTACATTATCAGACCCTGAAATTTTATTGTTTCAGAGAAAAAACTACAAATTCAGTAAGGTTTAGCAGCCCCTTTCATTGCTGTAGTCAACTGCGTAGTGTGTATTAAGTTTTAGAAACGATATTCCCCTCCCGTTTTAACTATCTTTTGACTTTGTTTTTTCATTGTGATTACAATCTTAGCTAATTCAATTAATCTGTTCTTCCTAGTGATCATTATTTTACAAATTTCCTGATCATGTTGCCAACTCCTACGAATGAGCTGGTCTTGAATTCCGTAACTATTTTCATCCATCCTTCAAAACTAATTTATTTTGTTGCTAACACCTACTAGCTAATTATTTTGATGGTTTTTAATCTCTTATTTTCACCTCTGTAAGTCTAAAACTGAGGATTCTCATAGACTAAAATAACAACATGATTGGTGTTCCATATTAGATAAGTTTATTTTAAATATCACACAGTGATGATGCAGGATTATCAAGCGGATGACAAGGTTTCGAGCATAAATTATTGCTTGTAATCACATCAATTTAGTCACATGGTTTCACAATTTGTTTTACATTTATTTTCTCTCTTTCTGTCTCTTCAACTTCCCTTTGTTGTTTGTTGCCACTTTCCATATCTCCGGTAT